GGCCAAGCAAGTTTGTCTTTTAGCTGATTGTAATGAGAGACGCCTGCATGTTATGTCTGTCACAGAGCCTTGGAGTGGGGAATGGAGGGGTCCTGAGTAGTGCCTGGACTCAGCTTGAGAGTGCCTGCACAGAATAGAGCTATTTCTCCTTTCCATATCCACGTATGTGTCCCCATCACAAACCATGGCAGTTACTTGCCTCTCTGACTTAAGTATGTCATTCATTCACTTAGACAGTATTTATCAAGTACCTACTGTGTGCAGGATATAGCATGTCAGATGCCGGGGCTGTAGAGCATGGTCAGAATGAAGGACTCAGCACAGCTGCAGGCCCAAGGCAGACCCTGCCTGTGCCAGGCAGCCTGACACAGCAGCGTCATTCAAGTGGATGCTGGTGCCTAATACCAAGGAATATCAGGTGTTGTTACAGCAGAGTTGGAAGGACCTCCGGATGTACTGGGCTTTCGTTCCCTTCTCTTTAGTCTCTAGGTATGGGCTCAGAAATAGTTTCTGATGATAAATAGTTGTAATTACAAACCTTATAGGAAGAGGTTGTCTGCCTGCTCCGTGAGAGTTGACCTCTCTACCACTGGCTGACCAGAGTTGCTTGCACCAACCAAGAGAATATCAGGTGTTGTTACAGCAGAGTTGGAAGGACCTCCGGATGTACTGGGCTTTCGTTCCCTTCTCTTTAGTCTCTAGGTATGGGCTCAGAAATAGTTTCTGATGATAAATAGTTGTAATTACAAACCTTATAGGAAGAGGTTGTCTGCCTGCTCCGTGAGAGTTGACCTCTCTACCACTGGCTGACCAGAGTTGCTTGCACCAACCAAGAATCTCTAAGTGTGTGTGTGTGTGTGTGTGTGTGTGTGTGTGTGTGTGTGTATACAGACACACATACACCAGAGGTCAACCTTGGTTGTTCCTCAGGAGCTATCCACCTTGTTTCCAACTCAGGGTCTCTAGGACCTGAGACTGGCTGGTTAGACCAGGCCTGCAGACCAGCAAAACTGAAG